TCGAAAAATGCATCGGTATCGTCGAACGTCGTATCGCTTCTTACTGCAGGTTGCTTTTTCGGTGCCATCGGGGCCGCTTGGATCAACGAACGGTTCGGTCGACGATTGTCTCTTATGGGCTTCTCCCTCGTCTTCCTTATCGGTGCCGCAATCCAGACTGCCGCTCATCATGAGATTGGCGTCATCTACGCAGGTCGCGTCATCGCAGGGCTCGGCATTGGAGGCATGTCATCTATCACCCCGGTATTCGTCTCGGAAAATGCGCCCCCAGCTCTTCGGGGACGTATCGCTGGTCTTTTCCAGGAATTTCTAGTCATCGGTAGTACCTTCGCTTACTGGCTGGATTACGGTGTTGCGCTCCACATGCCCACGTCAACGAAGCAATGGAGAGTGCCCGTATCAATTCAACTCATCCCAGGTGGTTTCATGTTGATCGGACTTTTCTTCCTAAAGGAGTCTCCGCGGTGGCTGATGTCAAAGGGTCGACAAGAGGAAGCTGCGCAATCGCTTGCGTTCATTCGCTGCGAGCAACCCGATAGCGCTGAGCTCCAAAAGGAGTTAGCTGAGATTCGCGCTGCAGTCGAGGAGGAGTTGAACCAAACTGAGGGCATAACATGGAAGGAGGTTCTCCTTCCCGGCAACCGATACCGATTTATCACTGGTTTTGTGCTCATGTTCTGGCAGCAGTTCAGCGGAACAAACTCGATCGGTAAGATGAAGATCTTTGGAGCTGAACTTCGCTATCTGACCCTCCTTCAGGCTATTACGCTCCTCAAATCTTCCAGACCATTGGTGTATCAGCAGCCAACGCTTCGCTGTTCGCAACGGGTATTTATGGCACAGTCAAAGTCATTACGACTGGAATCTTCTTGATCGTTGGTATCGACTTCATTGGCCGAAAGTACTCGCTCATGGCTGGCGCGGCATGGATGGCGTCCATGATGTTCATCATCGGTGCTGTTCTCGCTACAAACCCACCAAACCCAGATTCTGGTTCGGTTTCGTCCGCCTCCATCGCCATGGTCGCCATGATCTACCTTTACGTCATCGGGTACTCAGCTTCTTGGGGTCCCGTCCCATGGGTTTACCTTGGAGAGATTTTCCCGACGCGACTCCGTTCGTACGGTGTAGGAATGGGAGCAGCAACACAATGGCTCTTCAACTTCGTCATTACGAAGATTACACCAGCGGCAATCAACTCCATCGGGTAAGACAATGACTCTACCAACTACATACAAAACATACACTAATATCATCCTTCGCAGGTGGAAAACCTTCCTCATGTTTGGAATCTTCTGTCTTTCCATGGGCATCTTTGCTACGTTTTTTATCAAAGAGACGAAAGGGAAGACACTTGAGGAGATTGACATCCTATTCGGTGACGTGTCGGCTGAGCAGCGTCGCCAAGATGTCGAGGCGGGCATGAAGGAGGAACAGCGAAAGCACTCGGTGAAGTACATGGAAGACACTACCGAGCTCGAGAACAGAGCAGGCAAGGACTAAGTAGTTCTTCTAAAGCGACACCGAGGATTCTTCTGGTTTGTAGATCGATGAACATGCTTCAGCAGACAACGGTGAAACTTGGCGACAAGCTGTAGCCGAACTCAACCAAAGAGCCTTTTTACCTTGATTTGACGTGCGCATCAATCGATTGTTTCCTGTCAAGATGGGAAGACGATAACCCATCTGATATGCCGGATGTCGTTGCGATGCGGGACGATGGGACCGTTTTGGGAGGCGGAACAGGTGGGGGCTTGGTCAATACCCGAAGGGGCTAGCGTCGTTATCACAGGGGCAATGGCAAGAGGCCTCCGACATTTCGACGCGCTCCTTCGTCTTCGCATCACGACAAGCACGATTTTCATCAGTCCACGGGTGCTGCATCGCTTTCGAACATGCTGCCATCGTTCCTGCTTCCATATTGACATCCATTTGCATCATGTGTCCCACAAGGCGATACTGTAAGCCCAGTGTGGGGAGACCCCGAAGTCAGCTTTCACGTTCAAAGGCTCTTATCGCAGGTTTAGCTCATCCCGATTCGCTTGTTACGACCAACAGGAAGACTCAATATGCAGTCTCGCAGCCCTCAGCATCGACCGTTTACCATAATATCGGAACCACTGTATGATTACGGACGCCACAAAAGCCTCACAACCTTCGCGATATGCGCGACGTATTGATCACACGAGATGCACAGCGAAACCAGACCGGGTAAAGCTACATGGCTGCATGCTGACTGCGCGCCCGATATGGCATACGTCTGTGCCGGCCCGTATCGGATGGCCAAGACGAGACCTGGGCCGCATCGTATGAGGCAGTACGAGTCAAGAGAAGGGGATACAGTCTTTGCACCACCCCAAACCTCAGGCTACCACCAGCTTGGATGTATGTGGGGCATATCATGGGCAGTAGAGAAGAGGGGTGTCGCCAGTGCTGTGACCAGAAGCCTGTATAAGGTACCGGCATGGTAGCCTCCAAGAGAGCAAGCTTCGTCGTAGAAGCCTTTAGACATCATCAATCTCAATCCCGTGTTAGCGCTTTCCAGAATGGTCTTCGGGTTCTCGCTTCTTTCAACCCTTCTTGCGGCGCAAGCTGCCTCTGCGTACAACTTCCCATATGAGGGTATACAGCTGACGGACTCGGATGTGGGGACCAACCCTGACTTGGCTTTCGGCAAAGCAAACGAGAGCGACATACCTTCTTGCAAGAGCTATACAGGCTACGACGGCTGGCCATCACCGACGCAATGGAATGCCTTGAACATCAGTCTTGGAGGAACATTGCTTAAGGGTATTCCACCCGCTGCTGCCTGCTATGATGGCGAGTACAAGGATACTGCAAAGTGTTCAAACGTCAGGCGACGTCAAAGCGATGCTCTCTTCGCGTATGTAGTTGCAAACCTTACCCTCGGTTGAAAGCTAACTTACTTCATCTAGCAAGGAAGACCCACTGGTACCGTTTGGGCAGTGGACTTTACACAATCCATGCCCCGTACCTGCAGCTAGCGTCACGCCTCCCCTGTCTAGCTGCAAACTCGTCAGCTTTCCTGCATTTGTCGTCAATGCTACTACAGTCAAAGACGTGCAGCTCGCAGTCAACTTTGCCAGGAACAACAATATCCGTTTGACGATCAAGTACGTCCTCAGGAAAGATACCAGCCCTAAACTGACCATAGTAGAAATACCGGCCATGACTTTCTCGGCCGAAACACCGGCGGTGGCGCACTTCAAGTCTGGGTGCATCGCATGAAAGCATTCGAGTACTTACCGACGTACGAAGTTGGTCCGTACGATGGTCAAGCAGCCCGAGTTGGAGCGGCGCTCGAACAACATGAAGTGTATGACGCCATGAGTGCACATGATATAACGCTTCTAGCTCCTGGGTCTTCTACTGTTGGAGCTTATGGCGGTTACATGCAAGGCGGAGGATTCTCGTACATCACTTCAAAGTATGGCCTCATGGCAGACCAGGTACTTGCTTTAGAGCTTGTTACCGCGGACGGCAGGTTTGTGCATGCAGATCCGATCGAGAACACGGACCTGTTCTTCGCGATTAGGGGTGGCGGGCCTGGTAAGCTTCCAAAGTACCTCCACAATTATCTCCGATACTGACCTATATCTAAGGAAACTTTGGCATCGTCACATCTGCGATTGTAAAAGCGTATCCGCCTACGGCAGTCGCACGAAGCGACTTCACATTCCAGACCGGCCCAGTGTCCAGTAACGACAAGACCACCGTTCGCGTATCTAATGACACCTTTTGGAAGGGTATGAAGGTCTATTTATCGCACAATTTACGCATCAATGATGCCAAAGGCATTATGTCAAACTACATCACCAAGGCCTCTGGTACCTTCACCCTATCAAACCAAATCACCAAACCGGGCGTCACCATCGAAGAGATGAGAAAGCTCATGGCGCCGCTCATCAAAGATCTCAACGACGTTGGCATTTCACTAGTCAACCCCGAGCCAAAGTTCTGGAGTACATATGCAAAGTTCGGTGCCCTGCCCGGCGGTCCAAGCGGTGGTACTAGTAACAGTCGTCTTGTGAGCCGGCTTGTTCCCCGATCCAACTTCGCAGACCCAACCTCCCAGACATTCAATACCACCATGGCAGCCATCCGCTCATTTGTCGAAGAAGGCGGCTACAGCTTCCACTCCGTGGACTACGCACCAACACTCGAAACAGCCGGCTATCCCGGCTCCGACTCTGCGGTCTCGCCGCACCTGCGCAACGCAGTCATGCACATGACCGGCTTCGATAGTCGGCAATATGATGCTAGCCTCTCTGACGAGCTCTGGAAGTCATCGCATGCTCGCCTCAACTCGTACGTGCAAAAGCTCAGAGATGCGACGCCGCTTAGTGGTGCGTACATGAATGAGGCGGATGTTGCGGAGCCGAACTTTCAGTATAGTATGTATGGTGATAACTACGATAGGCTGCTGAAGATCAAGGAGGAAAGAGATCCTTGGGGGTTGTTCTATGCGGTTACGGGTGTGGGTAGCGAGAGTTGGTTCGTTGAAGGGACGGGAGGACTCCCTACTCAGCAGGGACGACTATGTAGGGTTGATGTATAGGAATCCTCGGCTGAAGGGCTCTTCAGATATTGTGCTTCTCTATTCTGTGTAGGATGTCTCTGGCTGCTAATGTCGTGCGCCTGTTGGTGGCCGACGGTCACTCATGTCTTTTCGCTGGGGCATGAGGGTGTTTAGCTTTACATCTGATCTCGAGAAACAGGTGTCATGTACATTTCGCTTGGCCGTGGACTCTGCTTGCGTTGAATCTGAGTCAATTTTCGGTTAGTGAAAGCAGTCTCACTACACCTAGGTATATATCCGTTTGTCTTGTCAGCTGTCTTTCACTTTGCTGGCTCGTGCTCAGGCTTGGCGTCCATACAAACAATTGCGTCGCCCTTTCTGCACTAGTTCTTCTGATAACCCAACCTCCGCGCTTTACCTATCGATCGCGTTCAATTCTCAACAAGCTCAAACAATCGCCATGGACAACACATCCTCTCCTCTACTCGAACAGGGCCAATCCGCCCGCGTCTTGGGCGTCGTGGAGATGCTCGAGAACATACTGCTCAATCTCAGCCCCGCCGATACTCTACGAAATGCACAAGGGGTCTCAAAGTTCTGGCAAGAGGTTGTTCAAGGATCAAATGCCCTTAAGAAGAAGTGCTTCTTGGTTGCCGACGAGAAGAGCGAAGAGGAAACAGACCGTCGGTTGTTTCTCGGGGCGCATCTTCCAGACTTGAGCAATCCCCTACTTGCAAAATGGAGCCAGTTTGGAGACCTTGAGGAACTTTGTCAACTGACAGAGGTGACTCCGGGTACTCTTCGCGCACTATTCGCCGACGACCCGACAGCCGACGAACCAGATGCCATCCGCCGACTACAATACAAAGTGGGCATCCAGGACTATTTCGAGACGCTCAATGACGATAAAGAGATCATCCCTCTGACGATCAACGTGGGCCGTCAGTGTCGCGGCTTTTGGCCTGATGATGAATACGACCCGCGAACCTACGAGTCGCTGCTTGACATGTCACGGTTGAACCCGCTGCTTCGCCGATCGTGGGCAGGGAAAGCGTCCGCTATCTTCACCGGCTACGAGAAACACATGATCTTCTTACTGGGCGACAACTTCAACGAGGGCTGCGAGTACTTCACATACATTCGGGAATTTCTGGAAACCTTCGCAAATGCCATGAGCACCGATGCGTCAAGACGGCCCTGGAGAACGGTTCAGATCAGTTCACCTGCCGTCACGAAACTTACCATCATGACCTCTCTACCTGGGTGGTTCGGCGCTGGAACTCACGATTATCTCGGTGATGCTGGTATCACGATGCTTGATTTCGCGCACGTGTTCATCTGGACGATCCGGAAAGCTTTGGAGGACTATTCTCCAACTGATCTGGAGTACTGGATGGGTCAAATGCGTTCGTTCAAGCGAGGTGGCAGGACATGGAGGAGCTACATGCGCTCATACAAGAAAGAGCGAGACCTCATCGAGAAGTTGATGGACCGAATTGACGACATGAAGGGTATATGGTAGTATCGCTGGAGGTTATTGGTTCACTATAGTCACGACCTCTAGGTCTGAGAGACGTGTTGGTACATTGTCTGTAATATGTGTGCAACTTCTGATACGAATATGAACTCTCCTCTACAGAGTCAGGTGCCTCAAGCACTACTAAATTTGAATAACTTATATTTCGCAACTCGTCCCATAACCTATAGCAGTGAAGGTCGACCCATGTTTATGGCGCCTTGCCCGCATAATCAGATGTCATCCTGACTACGTTGACCAACCGTCGGATAACCGTTAGCTATAGCGTCCCAACTCCTTTAAGCTTCGGAAAAGCCTTGCAAAGTTTTTAGGCGCTCACGTAGAAGTGACCGACTGGGTCCAGTAGTCTCGTGAGCTCATTAGCCGCGGCGAGATCTTGTTGGGGGACGTAGAGCGCGTTAGAACGCCCAGCAGATTCGAGCCGCTCGACGAAGTACCTGGCGAGAAGTAACAGAAGATCATCGACCAGTACACCAGTAGCGCGACGGAAGCTTTTGAAGCGATGGACAAAGTGTACCCGGGTAGAGCGGTTGGAGATCTCCAAGTGCATAACCAAGCTGACGGTGGTGAAAGCGGGATTCGCGAGCGAAGATTTGATCCAACTAGCGGTAGGGTTTCTCTGTACCTGGAGCAATATCTCCTCGATTGCTCGCGAGACTTTGGTGGAGGAGAGGCCCAATTTCGAAATGGGTAAGGGGTCCTCCATGAAGACTATTGCATGGGAGCCAAAGCCAGTCCAAAAGAAACCATCTTTAATCCAAAGATTGCTGGCGATGAATGGGTGTATGACTGACGGACGGACTTGGGTTATAGGCGCTTCCCAGTCCCAACTTCGACTTCCGGGGTTCAACCTTGGGAGCCGATCTTTGCCTGATGGAATCAAAGCTCTGCTGACCGCAGCTTGATCTATGTAGTAGGAGTCCGCAGGAACAAAACATCTGATGGCTGCGAGATTGAGAAAAATAAAAGGTCGGTATTTGTATCCAGGAATAAGGACTCCTCCGCGCCCCTCATGAGATCCATACGCGGGAAAGATATTGCTTAAGGGGAAGTAGAGCTTGCTATCGGCTTCATCTTCTTCGACTCGGTTGGCGTCAAGCAAGAAGATCTGTCTGAGAGCGGACGATCTGTTGATGCAGTTATAGAAGGTACTGGACACCATCTGTTTGTTCGACAAAGCATCCGTCGGGCTGAGGTGTTGCAAGATATTCTCGAGAAGTTCCGCGATGCCTAGGGCCTGTTGAGTAGCGGTAAGCGTCGACGCCATCTTGACGTGGTAATGTGTAGGTGATGAGCTATAATTTCGACTTCTGTGGAATTTTCGGACGATGTGTTGAGAGCAGGTCGGCACAGGAATGAGAAAATGGAGGCCAGGAAGGAAATTTCAGCACGTCGTGACTGTGTCATCAGCGTACGGTGCGGGTGGCTTCCTCTCGCTACCAGGGAATGTCAACAGGTCAACCCGCACAGCTCGTAAAGACGAGCATGCCGCGCGAAACATCGGTAGCGCAGCAATTCGCCATGCGTTGAAAGCGGTACCGATATATTCCACATGGTGAGGCTGGGCAAGAACGCGCTGCACGAACGCGTAACGGTTGCGATCATCGCTCTAATCGATGCAACATCGTACATGCGCGTTAAATTCGCGATAAAGACGAGGCGATAGTGATTGTATGTTATAGGGGAAGAGATGCGATGGAGTAGTACGTTTGATCGAATTAAGGTGACGCGATGTGCGCGTCTCAGGAATTAGCGCCGGAGTTTTGCCGATCTCCGAACGAAGCCACCAGCTGCGTGCCATCCCCTCCCACCTCCAACCCCCAGCAGTGAGTCTACACCTGCTTCCGTCCCCGATAGTCAATACATGTATCATTCGGGCTAAGCAGATGGTCTCTCTGTTCTACCACCATCGATTACATCCATAATAGACCATCACGATGTACCGCAGTCTTACAACACCAGCATCACCGCCGTCATCACACCGGCCGCCCATCCCACCATCCTAGCACTGATATCAGCCCCAGCACTATCCCACGGCGTCTGTTCCTCCGGTACGCGGCTTCCCTCCACTGTGTTGTTCGCATTCATACACACGAACTCGACGCTGGTTTGCACCACATTCGAATCTGGGTCAACAAATCGTCCCAGTAGGACGACTGGAATCGTCTGGCGCATTAAGAGATCGTACGTCTCATTCGCAGGGGCGTAGAAGTTATCGGACGGGCTGACGCCTGCGTTTGTCCCGAACGTGTTGTAATTGTCTGGAATTTGCACCTCCTCAGGCATGTTGTTGTAGGCGCACGTGCTGTTGGTCACGTCTTGACGGACCGTGTCTGTACGAACTTATCAGCTATATGTACAAAGGCTGCAGCTCCCGAGCCGCAAGTCAATCGTATCTGTTCTGTGCGGGAGAAGAAACAAGAAAGAGAATAAGGGAGGTTTGTACAGATGCAAGGGAAGGAACGTACTGTGTGAACCGCCACTCAACATTGGACACGCCTTCTTGAACTCATCCGATACAGACGAAGTATCTTTACTAGGACAGTAACTCGAGGTATCACTAAGTGCCTTGTTCAGGTGGTCCATGCAGTCGGAGCTGATCACACCGCTACAGCTATTCGCCCCTCCGGCTTCTAACGTCGCATTGATGTTGCTCCACTGATACTTGCAGAGCTCGGTATTGTTGGGCACGTTTCCAGGTACGGAGATGTAAACATGTCCTCTGACATCGTCATAGCGAGATCCGACCAGGACAGAGACATACCACGGGTCGTCGCCGGCGTAGGAGGAGTTCCAAGTAAATTCGTGCTGGCCGGTTGAGTTCACGGCCGTGAATTCGTCGAAAAAGCCTCGGCAGGAGGAGTTTTGCGCATTGACGACCGCTGTGGTGAGGAGTCCTGATATCGTAAGGAGCAGCAACTTTGGATTGTCATATTTCCACATATTGACGTAGCATAAGGGTAAAGCTGTAGACGTTTGATCGTTTGGACTTGCGAGAATGCATTTATATGTACGTGGCGCGGTTAGGCACCCTATGGGAATGACGCACTAGCCAAGAGTGTGGTTAAAACGGACGCGATCGACAGAGCTCGGCATGCCTTACCCGTCTAAACGAACATTGTGTGGCAGTAGATCCATGTCGCGATGAGGTTAACAATCTGCAATTAACTGCGCTACGCCTGCGGAGGGCAGTGCCCGTAAGCGCTGGGGCCGTTTCAATTCTGCGCTGACGGATACTCCGACGGCGCAATAGTACTACAACATGGAGGTTTCCCCTGATACAACGCCGTACATAAGGAACTACGATACATTGTTGTCTTATAATAGAAGGAGAACAACAATGACAGCAAGAAAAAGGAGCATATGCCATCCATCAAAACCCAGCAATCAACCTGCTCCTTGCCATGCCGCCCACATCGCTCTTGCGCTTCGGCTTCTGCGGCAGGTCATCGACAATGAAGTCGCCAAGTCCATCTTCATCCTCGTCATCGTCGTGCGCATCCTTCATGTCGTTGGCAACACTCATCTTGACCAACTTCCTATCGCCTGATGATGCCTTGTTGGTGCCAGTCTTCCGCGGGCCGGGCCGAACTGGTGGTGCACGCGTGGACTTGGTCTTCTTGGGGGCAGAAGAGCAACCAGAATCGATCTTGTCGCTTCTCTTTCGCTTCCGCTGCTCTTGCTCTTTGGCTTTAGCAGCCTTGTTCTCAGCCTGCTTCTTCTCCCATACCAGCTTCTCGGCCTTGACGCGTGCATCTCGTTTCGCCTTCTTATGCATCTCACGGATCGCTTGTTGCTGCTTCGCCTCTGCTTCAGCTCGCTTACGCTTCACCTCTTGGTTGTAAAGCTTTACTTCACCCTGTGCAAAGTCGGCGGCTCTGAAACGGCAACCGAGTACCCCCATTAGCTTAGCGTAGGCCTCGTCGTCGATGATCAAGATGTTCACGAGGTGTGTCTTCCCCCCGTTGTCGATCTCAAGCCCTCGAATCTGCGCTTCCTCGAGAAGCTCTTGTTGCTTCATTACCTCGTATGAGGATATTGCTAGACGCTTTGGCTCCCTCCATGGGTTGTGCGCAACAGCCATGTACCGATCGATGGCTTGATGCTGTTGCGGGTGACGAGGGACTGTGCGCTGTCGAAGTGGTGGCGCCGAAGTTAATGTAGTCTCCGCGACGGTACGCCTTCGCGCAGTCGCTGACTTGACCTGGGTTGTATTCTTCTTAAAGGAGGGCTCTACGCCGTTGATCTCTGCGATGAGCGATGTAAACATCTTGCTAGTGTGAAAGATTAGCTGAGAAGGAGGAGTGTTTGTTGTTACGGCGACTGGGTCGTTGAAAGTAATTCAACAGGTTCAGAAGCGGTCGGTTGAAAAGGGGAGGCAAGCAGGCGGCGAAGAAGGAAGAGTCTGCATTCATTAGGGAGAGCTCCCACTCAGGTTAGTGGGTGCAGGTGATGTGATACCAAGTTTCTGGAAGTGAAAGTGAATGTACCACGTTCGGAGAGTACGGTAGAGCACGGGAGAAGGGAAAGTGGGAAGATCATTTTCACACTATGGGCAGTACTGTGGTCATTAACGGCATTGTAAGAGGTCTGGTAGTAATATTGGTTGAGTGAAGACAACTTCGTCGGCGAAACTGTGGGACGACTACACCAACACCAATGGGCTTCCTGCGATGACCCCCACAAACTCCAAAACAAGCGGTTCACCTTCAAGCCCCTGACCTTTCACCGTCTCAGCATACCACCTGACCTCCCTCCTGCGAAGCGGCGACAGCGATATCCATAGGTTCACCTTCATCCTCCTCCTCATACGCCCTACACTGGGCGATCCATGCCCTCCTGTCTTCCTCCTCATCCACCCTCCTCTGCTCCTTCCCCTCCTTCCACGCCCTCCTCTCCTCAACCATGAGGCACACCAATCTGATCCTCAGTCCCCATTCACTCAGGCTCTTTTCCTCTCCCTCGTCGAGTTGTTCTCGTTTGAGGAGTTCATGCTGCATTTGCAGCACCGTCATTTCGTTCCAGCGCGACAGGCGCGACAGTGTGGCGCCTTGGTGGTAGTATAGTGTGTCTGCTAGATGGTGCAGACTCACGCCGCGGCGCCGTTGTTGCATCAAGATGCGATGTTGAGCGGGGTGAAGCGTCGCAAAGACGGCTTGGAGAGTGCGGTAGGGGAGGAACTTGAAAGCGAGTTTGATGAGCTTTTCGGGTGCCAGTCCGTGGACGGTTGATAGGCGTTGGCAAGACATGTTGTGGTTTTGGGTTGTGCTTGCTTATGTTGTGAATGTGGTTGTGTGTTGCAACAAGAGTTTGGAATAGTATGTCTTTGGGCTTTGGGGCATGTGTGGATGTAATCGAATGGAAGGATGGAGGAGGCAGGAGATGTGAGTTTATATACTATCTGAAGAACATTGTAGAAGAGAAATGGTATCGCGTGCGTCCCGTGTTTGCGCATCCAAAACATGAGCAGATAGACTCACCCTGACCATATGACCTTGTACCTCTACCAGTAGTAAGTACCCTTATTCCTCTTAGACAGCCAGTCGCAAGACCAAAGAATAATCCAACATATCCAAGTGGCACTTTAAGCGAGCAAGACACATCAGTGCCAGACACGCAGTGACTCACAATGCGTAGCATTGAGTCAAGGTGAGGATCGTTATTTGGTTCAGGCTCCTGCTACCGGACGATGACTACAGTCTGGCAGTAGACTGGTCTATTTTGCTAAGGCTGCGTACGGTTCACCATGCGCGACCATGGCTGCCAAAGGGATGTAGTCCTCGTATATCGCACTGAGTCTTCCGGAAAGGTAGCCTATAGAACTGCTGCCAATATTGATGTTCAGCGCAAACGTGCTCTCGGTCATTACCTCCGTGCGCGAACTGATGACGCACTCGAGCTTAGCGGTGACCTGACGCACACGAGCGACTCACACGTTCCGAAGTCCGCATGTACTCAACATGAGAACTGACATATTATAAGAAAGAGAAGCTAACACCGGATACGTATGTATTCCTATCGGCGACTTGTGAAGCGCAAATATTCGTCTCCACCATTCTGTCCCACTTAAGTACGCTCTTGCACCCCTTCTAAGAGCTCTCCTACTAGTCCTCCTCATCATAGAACGCATACTCTACCGACTCGGTAATCAACTCGCGCGCCGCAGAAAGAACCTGCGTAACAGCCTGAACAACCGTGCTCGTAGTCGTTGGCGCATACGCAGACGCAGTAGCAGCCACGGTGATTGTTGGCGTAGCCGCCAGCGTAGTACTCGGCTCGTGAGACTTGGGTGGCCAGACAAACGAGTTTGGGATAATGGGCAGAGAGGCGAAACCAAGTTGCTTCATCTCGGGCTCGCAGTCTTCGCCTTGACAGCGCACGAGACCGAATTCGGTGCGCAGCTCTTCTTCGGTGGGTAGGCGAGACGAGTTTCCTTCGTCGACGTAGAGGTCTTCGGGGCTGAAGCCGAGGCCTCGCTTCATCTTGACGGCGGGGGGCCCCGGAGGGTAGCCCAGGCCAGCATAGTCTGGGTTTCCGTAGTTTGCCGTATGTCTCTTGCGGGGACGGTTGGCTGCACGATCGTACCAAGGATCGTTGGTCATGAGAGCGAAACCCGGGTCGTCCACGAGGTCCTTAGGCCAGCACGGGTTGGCCGTGATCCCTTGATCGACAATATCTCTCGGCATGTTTGAGAATTCCAGGCTGAAAATCTGGAGCTGTGCGTACTCCGTGTGGTCCCATTTCTCGACGACTTTGCCATTATCACACTTGACTTTTTCAACCAGGCTCTTTACCGTCTTAGTAGCCACTTTGTCGTCGCAGATACGGCTGAACAGGTGCCCGGCGTCGCCGTTTTGCCCAGAGGGAATGAGGCGAATCCACACATTTCTATCGCGAGCTTGCCAAATCACGGCGGGTGGGAATTCGTCCCGCTGGCAGGACAGGTTTGGGTCACCTTGCATGTGACCCTTGATCCACTCGGTCTTGTGTTGGGTGTAATAAGAATCTTTAACCTCGCGAATGTTAATGCCATCTTTACCATCGCACGTCAATCTTCTGAGAGCAGGTCGACGGCTTATAACAGAACTGTGGTGCAGACAAGCCTGGCCCATGGAAATCTCCCCGCTGTCTTCACTGTAGATACAAGTCCTAACCTTGATATCTTCATGAGGATCTCCCTGTATTCTGTTGATCTTTGTTAAGGGTCTTAATGGGCGGGCACGTTCCGCGAGCTTGGGGTCGACCTTGGAGCACCTTGCCGCAGGTTTCGTGAAGGTGGCGGGTGGATCGCGGTCCTTTTTGGAAGTCAACGGTTTGTCGAGCTTCACATCGTAATCCTTTCCGCGGAACTTGAAGACGGATTTGCCTGCTTTTGCAATGCCCTTGGCGCAAACTTTAGCAAGAGCTGGAACGGCGGCTTGGACGGCGAGTCGTATGATCCATCCTGCATCACTCAAGTTAGAAAACAGCTCAGGTCAAAGAATGGAGCAACTCACCAATAAGGGGGATAAAGGTAAGCGGTGTCAAGGCGGCCGTGATGGCAATTCTGCAAAAGGCCGTGGCAGCGACCTCCAAGGCTAACGCTTCGGCTGCTTCCAAAGCGGCCTCTTTGGCCTTGTCCTTGACCTCATCTTCGACCTGCTCTTTAGTAATAGGGGGCTTGAAGCCAGCACAGCAGTAACTCTGTGTTCCTCCAGAGCATGTCTGATCCTCGGTGCTCGAGTGGTGATTGGTGTTCTGCGTGATCTCCGTTTCATCTTTGGCACAGCCACCAGTGCAGCTCAGGCCAAGACCACGGTAGCCGCGCCATCGGCACTTGCCCATATTAGTGCCTTTGGCGCAGCACAGCCGACGGAACTGTCCTTTGCCACAACGGTCCATTGTTGAAAGCGTCCCGGGTTGGCCGTTCGTTTGCGAAGCCTCGTATTCTCCTGACGCGCATTTCTCGCCGCATGGCGTCGTGTAGCAAACGCCCTGGGCGGCTTCGTCTTGGATGAAAATCTCGGCTGCTGCAATGTCGTCTTCGGTCCATTCGTCGGGGTAATTCAGGCTTTTGTCGTTCTGGTCGACTTGATCGATAGCCCAAACCATGAGTCCATCTGCAAACGCATCGTCAGTATGGAAGTTGCACATGTTTTGATCACTCCTTACGCAAGCACCGCGAGTTCGCGAATTCTGCCTTCTGCCTAAAAGTATCTTGGTCGTCGTACGAAACCCATTGATCATTGTCCCATTGTATCCCTGTCGCGATGATTAGCGAACCGTTTGTGGAGCTTTTTCTGCTCTTTCCTCGTACATTTGACTCCGGCTTTCAGATCATGGACCGGCTTGAGGTTCTTCTCCTTGATGAGCTCTTGGATCTCTTGTAGAGTAAGAATGCCGGAAGCCTTCGAACACCGACCCTCTTTGGCACCTCCAGAGAACGTGCATGAGCCGTCTGGCTTGTTGCAGCTCGGATCGGTGAGGGTAAACGAGCGGCCGTAATCTGTCCAACAAGTCAGATGATGTAGACGCAGAATGTGAGCAAAAGCAAACTTACAGCCTTTTCCCAAGACAACTTTGTTTGGTTTGACCCCCGCGCGCCAGAGGAGGTCCAAGGCCATGTTGATCTCAGTGATGTTGGTGTGAGTTGCGAGTTTGGGCCCAGTGTATTTCGATGCGGCGTCCCAGACACCGTGAAGGTCATATGACATCACGTTGAGCCAATCAACAGACTCTTGATGCTTGGACACGTCGAAGTGTTGCAGGTACCAATAGGATGCCGGCAGCGTTATGGTATAGCCGTACTTTCCACGAAAGGCATCCTTGATGTCTTTCGACAGCAGAACGAAGTTGGCTGAATCGCCGGCCTTGCCTCCGCGATCATCTTCCAAATGTCAGTACTGGGTGAAAGCGACGAAGATGCAAATCTTGGCTCACCAGCGGTAGGGTATTCCCAGTCCAAGTCAGCTCCATCGAATCCGTATGTGTCCATAAACTTGATGAGCTTGTTGATGAAGGTCTTGCGATTTGCTGCTGTACTGGCCATGTTGCTGAAAGCCTGTTGGTATGGGCCGGCTAGATTACTAAAGTCAGTAAATACTAGTGGGTTCGAACAAGTATCACTTACGATCGTTGAAGGACCATCCACCCACGCTGACCCAAGTTTGAAGTCCAGGCTTCTTCTCTTTCAACTTGGTGAAGCGACTCAGCAGCTTGCCCGCGTTCTTGTCCATTGGAACAATGTCGAAAGTGGTGGGATGGAAGAAGACAAAGGCAAAATTGAGGTGCGTAAAACCATCAAGATTGAGGTCTTCGGGAGACACCTTGCTGCATGCCCTAGTGTTGGCCCACGATTCGTAGTAGCCAATGTTTATGCCATCGACGCTACCACCATCTTTGCTGCAAGATGGTCGCTTGACGTCGCCGCAGCCTCCAAAGTCCTTCTGGCATCCCTTGTCGCAAAATAAGGATGTCGAACCGCAAAACCTACGTGCCAACGTCAGCTGCGAGAAAGGAGCGGTCGAGGTAATCACACGTACCCAAACTCGGAGCAACAGACTCCGAGCGGACACTGCTGCTTGCCAGGCTTGCCGTACTGGCCGCACTCTGCTTTGGCATCGCAGTTAGAGGAGCAGTTTCCGGCTCCGCACTCCGAAGGAGAGTATCCGCACAGTCCGGAGACCTATCTCATATCAGTGTTTGGTCTTGGATCAATACCAGCTACTTACACTACTACAGCATGCACCATTCACACATGGCGTTTGATCGTTGCAGGTACCGGTAGGAAGATCCAGAGCCTGAGCTGGGATATCGTTCCTCAAGATACCAAATGCCGAATTGACAAGGAAGTACGATTGTTCCACCTCGCCGTCGAATGTCTCGTTCTGGAAAGCAGAGCCATTTTGACCGCTCACAAGGCTAATTTTGAGCCAAAGGCCGAGGACTAAGCCCTGAAGAAGTGCAGACCGCATATTGAGTGACCGAATGTAAGGGGAACTTGGGGGTGCGTTTTCTCACTGCTCAAGAAGTATGGCGAAAGCCGTTAGGAAATGTGAATGAGAGGAGAATGTGGTCCGTATTGCCAAACGCTTTGGCGTCCCGGGTAGACCCGCCATAATCGCATCGATACTGTTCTCGCCAAAGTAGATCAACACTCGCACATGTCGTTGTAGGTATTGGGCTTGCGCCACCGTCCATGTCGCCTAACGCTAGAGTACGGTCCGGTAGATGAAAATCCAGACGGAGGATCCTTAGATTGAAGCTCCTTCCAAAAGAGAACAACCTCCGGCATGCTAGTGCACAAGTTGATACTCAATGCTAGCGTGAGGCGTGGGTCTTCCGACGATAAGACTGGGCGGAACATGGATTAGACAAAAATCGAGCGGGACATCCGTGCCAGCCTCGCCACGGGCATAACCGCGCAACCGCCTAAATGCGCGACAGCCTAAGACAGGCGGCACATAGACGCCAGGATGCGTGCGAGCGGGTTCCATGCCGCATATCCACTATGTATGCAAGGTACTGAAGGATGCCAAGGATCTAGCTGACCACCTTCCAAGTTCCCGCACGGCTGCTAATTGATTAATTAGCCAAAGTGAAGATCAGAGAAAGTTGTAACTCCGGCGGAGCATTGCATACTAGTGTCCACTCCTATCGCCCTGCAATGACTTATTTCTGGCGTTCTGATGGCTCGGCCGGGGTATCCGCGGAGACCAAACCTCGGAAGGCTGGTTATGCTACCTCGACCAATCCCCAATTCAAGCACTCTCTCATCGCCGCATACTCAGCTCTAAGAAACGGTCGAATTCGTCCTCTACTTAGGTCGAAGTTCTTTGCAGATAGATTCAGCGGCCACAATGTTTTCTCACAACCCTGTTCGCCGCGTGCTGATCAACGTAGGCTTGATGGCTTCCGCCTCAGCCTTTAACCTCTATCCCCTTATTCCGGCAGAAACCATGTCGCAAATTCTAGGGATATCTTCCGGATGTGTATCCGCCTTGTATGTCTTCTCTTCCCAAGCATGCTTCATGAATATCAACTGATTCCTTTCAGAAACACCACGCTGCCATGCGATAACGACTTGATGCAATGGACGCACAAGGTCGACGAAGTGTACTGGCAACCAGCCGATGTTACCACACTTTGCACCGCAAGCTGTATGTCCGATGCAGCAGACTGGCGGCAGAATGTCGCAACAGCTTGCGTTGACGACTATTACCGCTCGGGCGACCGATACGTGCCCGCCGAATCGCTGAGCGGTCGTATCTTGGAGGGACTTGATATGGCTTGTATGCGCTCATCGTCTAATGAGTGGTGCCTAGTCGAGTCCTACGAATGGACTGGCTCAGATGTGATCCAAATGGATTGCGAAGCAAACCCCAATGACCCATGGTGTCTCAATCGCGCCGACTTTGGCGCAAACCAGAGCCGAATGTCAACGTTATACGATGACGACTTGTTGTGCTCCGAGTGCTTTCTCAAGATGTTGCATGCCCGCGTAACATCGGATTACCTGCAAGACACAGAGTTTGGCGACTATCTCGTCGAACAGTTTCAAGATGTTCAAGACGTTTGCAAGACTACTGTTGGCGAGCTCGTTACCAGGATTGGCCCAGCCTATGCGCGCGTGACGGATGAGCCCGAGATGGCACTCCCGTCAACTACCGTATCGACTACTAGTAGCGCGCCCACACCCACGTCGACAGTATGCAGAGGCCGCATGGTGGATCTACGACCCGATCGTGAAGAGGAGCTCAATTGTGATGAGATTGCGGAGAAGTACCAGATCGCCTCGCTGGAAGCGGCTGTTGCAACGAAGAATGAGTTCTGCGATGCGGATGGAGAGGTGTGCATACCTCTTGCTTGCACATTGTACCGAGTCTTGACCAACGACACGTGGTAAGTATCTCTGCTACACACTCTCTCGTATCAGCTGCTCACTACTGTGAATTAGTGAGTCAATTGCTCAAGGTCTTTCGAACACGACAAATGAAGTCACGCTCGCTCAGCTCGCAAGCTGGAACCCCAACATTATGGGTGCTTGTGACCATCTATTGGTTGGTCAGGCAATCTGCTTAACGTATGTCAGCCCTGTAGTCTCCCATCCATTGAATAGAAGCTGACAAGTATACCTTTAGTCCTCCAGGCGGTGCTTGGATCAGTCCACCAGCCTCAGAAATCCCCGACGATGGCGAGGGACCAATTCGCGGCGGTCCAGGAAGTACGGCATCCCTTCCCATAATCGAAGACGGTGGAGAAATACCTGCCGATAGCATACAAGAGGGTATAGCATCCGGTTGTACCCGCTGGATCATGGCCAATGACACCCAGGCCGCATGTTGGAAGCTTGCATACGATGCCAAGATCAGCGTACAGAGATTGTGGGAGCTGAATCCGGTGCTCGGTAGTGCTGGCGAGCGATGTGCTTCGCAAGTCTGGCTCGGCTACTACTATTGCGTTGCCACGAGTGGTGATGGCACGTCGCCATCACCTACATCTACGAAGCCTAGCACGAGCCCAAGTTCGACAGCGCCGATTACAAAGCCAACACAAACACAGTCGGGTATCGATCCTAATTGCAACAAGTTTGCGACAGGAGCAAGCTGTTGGGAGATTGCCAACAGTGCCGGAATTGAGCTGTCACAGCTGTATGGATGGAATACTGTGTTGGGCGCTAACGGAGAGAACTGCGGAACTCAGATCTGGGCCGGATATTACTACTGTGTTGGCACTGCCACCCCCACGACAAGCCAGCCGGCAACAAGCACGGTGGTTGCCCCGCTCCCTACGCAGACTCAGGGAGGCTTCCCCGCAAACTGTAAGCGGTGGATGGTTACTAAGAGTGGCGATACCTGCTGGAGTATCGGTAACGACAACGGTATTGCCCTCGAAGTGCTGTATGCCTTGAACCCGGTCCTGGGCTCTGACGGAGAGAACTGTGGAACTCAGATCTGGCCAGAGTATGCTTACTGTCTTGCTATATAACTTCGTACATGAGGCTGTTTGTTCGTCTCGAACGTTCGGAAGCGGTGGTAATGCGTGTGACCGACCCAAATAAGAAGATAGGAGAATGCGTAGTGATCTATCGTGAGATTTGTCACTTTGTGCTGTCAGCGCTTCCATTCTTGGAACGCAAATCATACGTCTTGTCAACTGCTATAAAACGCCTTTGTGCATGTTTCCTCGCGGCTTCTTCTTTCCGTTCCGCTTCTTTGCGTTTAGCGTCGAGACGTTCTTGTTCGAGAGCTTTGAGATACTCTGCCTTTCTGAAAGCTGAGGGCCAACCATACTCTTTCAGCAAGCGCTTGGGTAGCTGTTCATTTGCTTGATGAGTCTTCCGGTCACGTTCGCCGAGAGGATCGCACTCACCTTTGCATTGTTGTCTCGATGATCCACCATCTCGTTGTACCATGCATCGCTACCTCGCGTCAATGGTACAGGAACGGTGACCAAGGTTTCGATCTCGTCGTAGAGCTCATCAAAGTACTGCTGAACCTCTCGAGGCTTTGCGGCCTGCCGCCAAAACTGGTCATCTGGTGCACTACGGTCTACAATGAACGGTCCCATGGGCCAGATTATCCCTAGTGAAACCTGTCAATATCCGGTGATGCACGTTGTATGCGGCTCATACCTTGGTCCGTATCTATCATCCACACTGTCGCTTCGTTGCCCTGACTCAACGGTATCATTCCAGCAGGTATTTCCTGCCCCTCTCCGCATGGCGACATACGCCTGATAGCCTTCTTTTTGTCCGCATCTTTCAGCCAGCCATAATTGCGAAGGTAATTGCATGCTTCCGTTACAATATAGACCTCGTATTTAGAGTCACCCATATTCTTGCTCAGATAAGGCAAGTGACGCAAGAGATCAATGACTCGGTCCGACCGTTTCCACTCTTGTAATGTGTCAACAGCGAGCTGCTCATCAGTCCAACCTTCGGGCGGCGGGCGGAGGATCGTGTCCGGGTCGAGGTAGGCCATGCGCACGAGCAAATCATAGTGCTTCTCGATGCAACTGACGACTACATCGCGATTGTAAGGCATGGTGTGGATGATGGGGTTGTAGTGTAACGCTAGACAACTGGAACGTGGCTAGATCAATTCTACCCGTGGTCCGCGTGAACATCGGCAAAAGTTGCCGCCGACGACCTCGGTCTGTTTGTCCTGTTTGCACGCGACGGCCTAACTTTATGGCCAGACAGCAACACTGAAACACTCCAACTCATACGACAACATACGCCCAACTTTCTCCAAGCTAATCGCATAATAATCAAACCACTTTCACGAAACCGCCATATCGCCGACATCCTCGAAACCGTCCCTTTCGCCGAAACAACCAGACCAGCGGTCAACGCCGCATACAAACGGACCTCACAAGCGGGCGGACGATACACAGGGAGAACAACATGGGCGGCTACTTATCGACGTTTACAAAGCTGATATGGGCAAAGAAGGAGATACGGATATTGATTCTGGGGCTGGTATGAACACCTCAGCATGGCCAGTATGAGAGGCATGGCGCTGATTACAAATGCAGGATAACGCTGGAAAGACGACGCTACTATACAGACTGAAGGTACGCCATATCCAAGCAGGAAAGAAAGGAGGCATGCGAATATGGAAACAATATGCATCCTGGGTCTGGACACGAGGTATACGGAGGCTAACAAGCCCTCCAGATTGGCGAGGTAGTCACAACGATACCAACAATAGGCTTCAACGTCGAATCCGTCACATACAAGAACCTCAATTTCAACGTCTGGGTAAGTCCACCTCCCCCTCCTTCAGAACCACCCACCTTCCCCCATCTACAGCCACCATCTAACACCCCACCTACCCAGGACCTCGGCGGCCAAACCTCCATCCGCCCCTACTGGCGCTGCTACTACGCCAACACCGCCGCCGTAATCTTCGTAATCGACAGCACAGACATCGAGCGCCTCACGACCGCTAGCGAAGAACTGCGCGCCATGCTCAACGAAGAAGAGCTGCGCGACGCCGCCCTCCTCGTCTTCGCAAACAAACAAGATCAACCGGGCGCAAAGGGCGCGGGCGAGATCAGCGAGGCGCTCAAGTTGGGGGAACTCAAAGATAGGAATTGGAGTATTGTGGCTTGTAGTGCGGTGGATGGTAGGGGTGTCCAGGAGGGCATGGATTGGCTGGTGGGGAATGTTGGGGAGCAGAGTTAAGGAGGGGACAGGAGGGGATATGAGGATATACGTGCGATGGGGATGAGGATGAGACGGGAGCGGGGACATATGACGCGGCACATACGCGTCAGAACGGATTATTATACCAGCATAATGGCGTCTCGGCGCTAGGGTTGTGAATATGGGGTGGGGAGTCAACGTCAGTAATTGCATGCGCGTTCTTGATGTCGATGGAAATGGAAATGGAGATGCATTATATCGTGTGACGACGCGTCTAATAAACCTCCCACGTCAGATCTCTACCTGGTCTCAACCGCCCCTCAGTCCAATCCTTGCCAAAGACGTACGCGCTGCTGATCTCTTCTTCGTCGATGCCCAAGTGATCTTCGCCGTCTCTACCCTGGAACCAGCCCAACGCGTACGTCTTCCCACTCTTCTCGAGGTGCTTCGTCATCTCCCTTGAGTTGAGCTTTTCCGTGTCGATGAAGCTGAAGAGCATCTTGGACTGGTGGATGAAGGCGAGGACAGAGGCCATGGTGCCAATCTCGCGGGGCATGAACTTCTGACTGCGCTTCGCATAGGTAAGGAGAGCGATGCCGATAAGATAGATCAGGATGAACATGGTGAGAATGAAGCTCCACCAGAAGCTGCGAAACGTTTGGTCTGAGTTCCATCGATCAGATGGATCGCTATCCTCGCCGTCATGGTTACTGTCCTCATTCTCACCGCCGAAACCGGGTATGAATTTTTTACCGTCGACGCTGAGCGAACTCACGCAGACGGTTAGTATCTCGGCAAGGATGGACCCAAAAGCGACGAGCATGACAAGGTAATGTCCATTGAAGAAGGCTTCGAAGGGCAGCCAGAGAGGATTCGTGCCAGCATAATCGAGAGTCAGAGTCTTGGCGGGGGCGTGGCGAAGTGAAAGGAGGTAGAAAGGTTGTAGCATGCGAACATCGCTGTTCATGGTGTTCCAGAGTATGCGTATGATAGTCGCTATTCCTGTCATCATCCAGGGCAGCGTTTGTGTGATGATGCCCGTCTCCTCCACGAATGTGAGGAGTGGAACCGCAATGGTGAACAAGAAGAGAAAGCCAATGAAGGGTACGCCCGCCCACATACGAAGCATGAGCGGCCTGGGATCAGAGCCTTGCTCGTGTATCTTTTCCTTGCTCTTTATGTATTCTCCTTGCCAGAGTGAGCTTTTGTGCAGGATATATCTTCTTTGGCGAAGCTGCTTATGTATCTGTGGCAAGGAAGCCTGATCGAGCCCTTTGAAATCCGTAAGAATGTGGCTTTTCGTAGCCATGGCCGCGATGCCTGCGATGCCCTTGGGGTCCGACTGCAAGCCGCTCTTTCTTTGCATCGCGTACATCAGCGCCCCGCCACAAGCTGCGACAATCAAAAGGCACGCTGAAAGCGCTCTAGACCAGGCCGGTTCGACTCTCACAGCCTTCCAGTCGCCAAGATTACGGTCCTTCTCGTCTGGCCACATAGTCATAGAAGCACTCTGCAAGACAGGTACAAGACTGCTAGCGACCAATGTGCCCAACGAGCTGTAAATGACAGCGTATTGTCTGTGACGAAGTGCTCTCAATGGTACTAGGAAGCTCAAGAACGTCAAGTAGTCCATATTCAGCGATTCCCCTGCTGTCGCGCCTGTCTTCTTGGATAACTGGTAAAATGGCTCCAGACGTTTGACCTCGAAATCCGACATTTGCCAGAGAACGCCATAGAAGACCGAAATCATGATGGGCGCGTATTGCCAGGTGAAGTATTCCGCGACAGACAAGCTGTTAACCTTCTTGAACTTCCACAACCCACCATTTTTTGGATGATCTCTGACATCGCGTAAGGAAATCTGGCAGAGATATTCCTGTACACCAGCGAGTGCAAGTGCAAGAATAATGAGCATAAGAATCCACCACGAGCTCATAGTAAGGGGCCGCCATGCAGGCATCTGGGGATCTGCATGCGTGTTAGATGCTATCTCTAGACACATACAATGTATGGGAAACTTGCCTTCAGGAAAAAAGTAGCTAGTCTGTGCACCACTGGAAATGAGACCAGCCTCAGCCGTCAAAGTTCTCATAGAGTCGAAGTCGCGAGCAACTCCTGTGAATTCGCTGATATCGACTGGAACATCTGCTGCAACAGCAACAACTTTGCCGGTATTTTCAGCCTCGTCTTGCGCTTTTCTAGCCTGCTCGTCTACTACATCCGCTCTTGTCAGAATGCGTCGGTGGCCTGGAAAGAAGCCTGGTACTGGTCCAGCTGGCGTGTGCTCAAACGGAACATGGAGTACAGAAGTCATGCCAGATCCGAGTTGCGCCTCGAGACGCTCAAATTCTGCGGCGTGACTAGCTTCATCCATGTCTCTGTCACGCTCTTGCCCTTCGTGTATGTCCTGTGTCCGCGATTGTGCCTCGAATGTTTTCAGCGGCAGACCGCCTAGCGAGCTCAGATCGTATCCGACTGCCTCGTCCCCCTCGTCGACTCCCACAAGCCATCTTCTGCCGGGTTGTGATTCTTCATCATCCAGTCGGTTGTAACGTCCCCCATGAGAGGCTCCCCTGTGCAACGATGCGATTCGGTCGAGGACCCGTTTGGTCCTACTGTTGCTCTTGCCCAACGACGGTGATGCGCGATCTTGAGTAAACACGCTTGCGACAGGGTTGTATGATGTTTCTTGGGCAAAAGAGGGCGGCGCTGGAGCGCGGGGTATGCGATACGAGGGTTCTGCGGCCGGTAGCAGAGGCGAAGGAAACGACTGACGTCTTGATGCAGGGGTGCTGCTAGGAGATGCGATTGAGGCGACTGAGGACGGTCGGGACGGAAAGAGTTGCGAGAGCCTGTCGGAGGCGCCAGACGTGTTCTTGCGACGCAGCGATGGCCGAGCGTGGATGGGCGGGGTATCGCCAGTTGTTGGAGAGCCAACGCGCAAAGCAGAAGGGACTGTGATATCGGAGGTCCTCCTACTGTTCGGGGAGCCAATTTGGAGGGGCGATGGTACTCCTTCGACGGATGGTGACCGCATTTCGTTTCGAGTATGCGCGGCGTGCGCTCACGTTCTTATACTGTACAATGATATTTGCAATGTGTAGCGACCGTAGGACGAGAGCGAACGAAGTGAAAGGAAAGAGAGAAGCCACAAAAAAAGGCGGGAAATCACCAAATCGCACAGGATGTTGCACGAGGCTGGCGGTACCTTGCAGCCTATGCGTTGCACCGGTCAGCCTGGTTCCATCACACCAATATGCGCCCACGGATGCTTTCGCCCTACTCAGGCAGGAAAAGCTGCTCTAGTGCAGTACACCATGTGCAGTCCAGGCGAAGCGAACGGCTGTCGTGGAATCAAGCTCGCCGTGCCTTTGATTTGCGCTGGCGTCGCGGGGCTTGACGAGCCGCTCAGCCCTGTGCTGATCAACCCGCTTGACTCCAGATTGAAGGCTGATAGCCTGATATTCGATGTCAGAAGGACGGCGTTGCGCAAAGGCGTCAGTAGCGATGAAGGAGCTCAGAATGTTGAGCGTAACAATAAAGAATGCATCGCTTTACAGGTTGCAGCAATGCCATCACAACAGTCGACCGGTCAGGATTTGGGGGCCAGCTGAGCTAAAAATACGGCGCTGTGCCGCTGCGGTCGAATGGCGTTCGAGTCTCGCCTGGCATTGCCGTCTGAGGCATGCCGGTGGCTTGCGATGGGGGCCAAAAACATCGTCATATCGTGTTGGGCACAACGACGGTCGCACGACGGAATACAGATTCGACGTTGTTGGTGTTGAGCAGTGGGAGAAAGATGGACCGGACTCGGAGCTTGAGGAAGCTCCTCTGATCGGCCCCACTAGGGACGTCACGTGGACGTCCTTCAGGGCAGGCGCTGACGGTGACAGCAAACCCTATGAGGCGACAACAACACCAGGTCACCTAGCGAGGCTGCGCGACGACACCCCCGACTGTGCGCAATACATGTACAACGGCTATCAGTTCTTTGAGGATCGTCAGGGACTGGATGGTCGCACCACCGTTTGCACCACAGACACGCGCACGCACCTGGCGACACGTGGTGTTGTACACGGACGACGTTCTCAAAGGGATCAGAATATGCTCAATTGGCTAGCCAAGATTACTATCGTACGTTGCAGGCTTTACTTCGGTCGTCTGCACAAATGGCTCATCTTACTCAGCATTACCTCTTGCGCATCTGCAGCATCGGTCCCTTCCTGCCGGCCACGAAGATGTCGTAGATCTGGTATTGATCCTCCGTCTGTCGCCCAGGCTTTCCATTTCGGTTGCCTCCACCAAGTCTGTTCTCTGGATCAGGCCGAACCTCGTACATCCAGAGTGTCTTGGCAATGACAAGTCGCATCTCCAGCCAGGCAAGGTTCTTTCCAACGCAGCCCCTGGTTCCATATGAGAAGGCACAGAAACCATTCTCCGCCAATGCTACACTCTCAGCTGAGGATCCTTCCTTTTCAGTCTCGTCTACGATCCAGCGCTCAGGGCGGAACTTGAAGGGCTCCGGGAAGACATTCTCGTTGTAGCTGAGACAGTAAAGGCCGGTGCTGACATGGAGGCCAGCGGGGAAGTAGTGATCGCCGACAGTCGTTCCGCCAGGGAGTACTTCACGGCTGGGCTCTGCTGCGACTGGTGGTGTCATGCGCATAGCTTCTTGAAGAAACGCGGTGAGGTATTTGCAGGACATGATCTTGGTACCAGACTTGATCTCGTCGTAGCTTGAGAAGACCGACTTGACCTCTTCAGCAATCTTAGCCTGTACCTCCGGTCGACGAGCCAGATAGAAGAAGGCCGCAGACATTACGACAGATGTCGTATCGGAACCAGCAATAGTCAGCAACTCGCACTCAGCGAAGAGTTCGTGCTCGCTGTAGCCACGCTTGCCAGTTTCGGGGTCGACAGCCTTGAAGAGCCAGTGAAAGAAGTCCTTCCGGACCTCACCCTCAGGCTTGGGATTCTTCTCCAATTCGTGTTCGACCGCCGACCGTTTCTCAAGGCATCCTTCAACGAAGTCCTGCCACTTCTTGACTACTGGCGGTGAGGCGACCTCCAGAAGCTTGTCGAGCCCACGAGGCTTCATCCATACCCAAGCGTTGGACAACGGGCCGAATGCAATCTTTGGAATGTCAGCATGGTCGATCAATGATCTGATGCAGGGGACTAACTGGATGGAGAATTTCCATGAATTGAACCATGACTTCGGGGATGTGGCGGAGATCGCTCCCAGGCTCCTTCATGTCGAAGTTCTTACCGAAGCACAAGTCACCAAGGATGTCGAAAACAAGCCAGTTCATCCAGTCACACATGTTGATAGAGGCCGTCCACTCGCCAGATTTTGGCGCTTGTTGACCAATCAGCTCCAGCCAACGATCGATGTTCGCGTGAAGGAAGACCTCAGCATCTCGCAGCGCCGCCTCTGAGAAAGCGTAGTTCAGCACACGGCGCTTACGCGAGTGCACCTCAACACTGGTGGTGCTCCATGTGTTGATAGTGTGGACATTGCGTGGCCACACTTCGTAGTAGAGGCCTTTCTTAACATTTCCCTTTGGTCCAAAGATCTTCTTGAAAGCAGCAGGCGTGTTGAGCACGACACTGTCTGGACGATACCGGAACTCGGGTCCTGCCAATCGTTAACAACTTACTGACTCTGGGGATGAAATCAGGCCACCATACCATACTTCTCCTGCAGACTATACAGCCAAACGTGTCGGTCGCCAGTACGAGTGTGCCACCATGACGGGAACACAGTCAAGCGGGCCCAGAACGGCCCCGGGAACGCCGCGAGTGGATGGAAGTAGAGGCGATAGATTCCAGTAACGATTACGTAGGTCGATACTAACAGAGCTGACAACACGAGAAGCCCTGGGTATGACCCATTGCCTTGGATATCTGTAATTGCCATCATGCACCTGGCTTATTCAGAGAAGAAGGAAAGTTTGACAGGAATCCGAAAGCGAAATGCAGAGCGTGGGGCCTCTTTTACGCCTTTCCATATGCTCGCCGACTTTGCAAATCGCACATGGTTGAACCTGTCGTGCTCCGCGGCATCTGAACCCTCACGGCTCCCAAATTAGTGCCCGTTGATTGGTCTCCTAAAGCCTTAGGTCGCTAACTAGCAGCCGGGGCACCTGTCAGAAACGACTCTGAAATGTGGAGTTTTGCTTCTCGGCTGGGCTAAGAAAGGACCGATGGCGAGCCGCACCTCCCGCACCAGCTATCCATAACACATAGTTTGACTATCAAACAGCTACTCATGCTTACTGAGCGACGCCACTATCACGATGCATCACTAACTTTTTGTTTCCCTGGTTGTAATAAGCCCGCATATCGCGTTCCTCGCATCCACGTGGAAGATGGCGCATGTGCCGGACGCCCTCGAATAGGTGGGTCTCTCGCTAAGCCCCATGGGACTTTCACTGCATTTACCCTGGTCAGGTTTGAGACAATAACTTAATGGGCCTCGACAGGGTCTATACGGCTTCTCGACTCGATGTTGCACTACTAAAACTACCAAGACGACGGCGTGAGTCCCTCTCGATCCCACGGCACAGCATAGCGTGTGAGGGTCCTTCTGCTTCCGCGACCCATGCCGTTGCATGCAAGGCGTATGATTGGCAAACGGTGATTGCCCTCCAACGAGAGCTTAGCACGTTTTGGTTCCTACGCCGCCACAAAGCTTGCACATACGTTTGCGGCTTGCGCCCCTACCAGATGCCCTGCAAATTCGTCATGGTAGGATTGCGGCAATGCACGACATCCACAGGAATGAACGCCACAAAGCAGACGCAGTGCGTGTTCATCCGAGGAGCCGCAAGGCGTCTGATATCTTCATCGCTTATGTCCGCCATCGATTGGTTCGTAATCCATTGCCGAAGCCTCATTTCTGACTCGCAACAGACGGCCAAGCTAAACCGTTTACGGCCAAAACGACGGCCAGGCACATGCGCTCAACACCAGGAAGTGGGATGATCTGCTCGAGTCGGCCATTTAGAATAACGCACAGCTCGGAGTTTATCCTGCCACGGCTACCCCGGAGGATTTTGATCGACGAGCGCAGTGATTGTCGGTTTGGGTACACACGCAGACGGCAGACTCGACCCCGCGGCGACAGATAAACAAATACGTTCTTATTTCTTTTTTCGCAAGATGCAAAAATCTACCCCTCTCATACTGATCATTTGTCTCAAGCCGCGACGCGCTTACTGAACGAGAGGGTGTGCGATGCAGGCGTAGATTGAAGTCTTGCATAATTGAAGTGGAGTTGACTTCCCATTTCGTTCCCGCGTAGCACGACGCCGTCTCCGTTGGGAGCGAGTGCCGGATCATCCCCCACCCACTCACATGTGAAGACGAGGGACCCTTCAGGCCGACCAGGACCCCCTAACCTGTAACTGACGATCCACTTCCCAGATGCTCCCCGTGTGTCAGTGCCTCGCTTCTTGACTTTATGCTTTGCCCAACAGCTCCAGCATGTCGGATTATTACTTCTCTCTGCCGGATGCTGCGATGGCCATTGGCTGATGCACAGCTAAACAAGCAAGTAAACCGTCATGGGTTTGAAGGGTGGTGATTTACAGACCTAAAGGGGGTCTCCCGCGACCGGGAGCGGCGGTAGCGGTAGGTGGATTGGGAACATCTGGGGAGTTCTGGTCAGGGCGTCTGCATGGGAGGTGAGGAAAGGTTTTTCTTTCCTTCTGGGTATCGCGTGTCTTGTGCCGTGTTCTTGTTCCTGATATATCATGGGTGCGTGTCTCGCGTTTTCCATGTGAGAGTTTCGTGCATCACCGTCAACGCCACTGCGACGTCTTGTTTCTCGCTGTTTGTGATATACCTGGTGTATACGCCGTCGAGGATAGGAAAGAGAGTGTGTATATGAATTGTGCATCATGGCGCCTATCATCGATCCACAGGAGAGCGTGTAAGTTTGTTCGGGAGTGTCTACTCGCCCTTTCTTTGTCCTCTACCCTTTCCATACCCAGTCTCCGTAGTCCTCCGCGGTTCACCCAACCCATGTCTTAT